TTTAATTAGCTAAGTTTCTTAGGATTTAGAATATATTTCGAATAAATTTGATGCTTATGACGAACTTGTAATATATTTGCGGATATACAGGGTAATTGGGGAGGAAATCGCAATATTTGGGAAACGTGTTCAGGGGATCAAAAGACAGACAAAAAAGTCCTATAAACATAAGTTTGATTCTCAGTTACGGAGTTAGTGGGCTTTATAAATAAACGTTTGTTATAAATAAACGGGTGTAATAAATAAACGTACTGTTGACCAGTGATGCCATGTGGCATTCGGCTTTCAGTTATACACAATTGAAAGTCGCGTACATGTACATGCGCATATGTAGCATGCGGAAACAATAGTTTTGTAATTGTAAGCATTCATTTTCACATTTATAGAAGTCGCTTAGTTAGGTATCACATATTTTCATTGAGAATTGGAACTATGTTTATAGGAACTATGTTTTAAGGACTTTTTTTACCCATTTTGATACCCCATTCTCCGAATATTGCGGTTTCCTCCCCAATCACCCTGTATAAACTTATGAAATACTCGAAACTAGTAACATTTATTTATACACTGATAGAAAATTATAATCACCGACGATATCCACTTTTTTTTATTTTAATCATTTTTGTCAAGGTTATTATTGCTGATTACACATTGCAGTAACACTTCCACTAGAATAATGCTCCCGACTATGGTTCTTTCATTACGCGATGTTTATACTTACAAATACCAAATATTTTTCTCCCAGTGCGTGACGCGCTTCTCACTACGCACGAATCGTCTGCGAGCTAATTGTCCCGGCGGTTGAAAAACAAACCGCGAGCCTGACGCCGGGAATATGACGGTCGTTTGAATTTTCCACGCGTATTTAGCGTTAAATGTAGCCGTCTCGTTCTCGCCCTCTCGTTTCGCCTGTTTACGTCGCGATTTTCATAGATACGCTGAGCCGCCGGATCAGACGCGCGTTTAACGTTAAATGTGCCGCGAAATACGGATCGTCATTCGCAAAGAGGAATTAGTGTCGTCTGCGAGGAGGAGCGTCGCGCCATCCCCGAAGCGTAACCCCCCCGGTTTTCCATTCCGCGGAAAACCACCTCTCTCGCGATTCCAAACGGACAGGCAGCGATTGCGCGCCCCGAACAGACCTCGTGGCTCCGTAATTCGCCGGTAGACTCGCTTAATCGTGTTATTCGAGCTGCTCGTCGTAAACCACGAGCGTGGATACGTAATGGTGGCGTTAAAGGTGGTAAGGACTGCGAGACGGTGCTCGGAAACGTCGTTGGAACAAAGGGCACGCCGGGTGGTAGCGAGCATTCGGTTAGGAGGAGTGCGGGGAGACAAACGGCGGCAAATCGCGAGCCGAGAAGAGGCGAGACGGGAGGATCGATCTCGTCGGTTACCGCGATACGCAAAACCGCGTGGAGAGAACGCGGCCTTCCGCTGGACCGCGTCTAAGAATGCGTGGCGATATTTAAGCACGAGGGGGAGCAACGAAGGAGGTTCGTCCTCGGGGGAAATGTCCGCCGGGGAAAATGGGAGAGCGAACGATGGAGAACGAAGGGGATGAGGGAAGAAAAGAAGCGTCGTAAGGTCGGGGCAAAGAGAGAGAGAGAGAGAAGATTAAGTGGACCGAGAGGGAAAGAGGTCGGCCTCTCGATCTCACCGGTGACAGTGATAAGGCGTAAACAGCAGGGCTGTTTATTAGTTGACTCTCTCGCAGCATTCACGAACAGCTCGATCGCACTTAAATCTAAACGGATAGACGCGCAATGGCGCGCCGCTCGTCGGGGAGACACAGTTTCTGGTACGCGTAATTCTCTGTAAACTCGACTAATCGTGTTATTCGAGGCTTTCGTCGTGCGCGCGCGCGCGCGCGAGAGAGAGAGAGAGAGAGAAAGCGGGCGCGCGTAGTTATGTAATGGTAGCGTTAAAGCGTTAATAAGGATCGCGGCGGTGCTTGAGAACAGAACGAAGAAACGAAGGAAGAGTCGCGGGCGATGCGCGTCAAAGGTGGTTGGAGGGAGACGAAAGGGAGGGAGGGAGGAAGGAGGGAAGTAAGCAAGGAAGGAGACAAGGAAGGAAGGGAGAGATAGGCGAACGGTGGAAAACGTAGGCTGAAAGGAAGCGCGGGGGTGGAAGCGCACAGCAAGGGGAGGGGGTTGGTCTTTCGGTCGTGGTAGTCGCGGGAGTCGTGGTAATAAATGGGCAACACGAGCGCTTATAAGGGGTAGGTAATCTAAAGCTTTCGAGGCGCGGCGGGGGCCGTCGAGAGAAAGGGCGTACAGGAGGAAGCGGAGGGAGGCGGAGGAGGAAGAGGAGGAGGACGGAGAAGAGTAGGACGATGAAGTGGCGGGCCGGGCGGCCCGGGGGGAGTGAGAAGAGAAAGAGAGAGACAGAGGGAGCGAGAGGTTGGCATGTAGGGTGAGAGGGACTGGTTGGAGGAGAGGAGAGCTGGTAGAACGGAGGAAGGGGTGGATAAGGGTGGTTACGGGCGAGGGTGTGAGATAAGGTATAAGGTGGGTAAGATGGCGGACAATTTGCCGCTCGACTACTCTTGCCCGCACCCCTGCCTCCACCCCACCCCGGGCGATTCCGACCACCTCCGCTCACCCCTCCCTTCTTCTCCCGTTCCTCCCCCTCCTCCTCTGGTCTATGTATCGGGTAATAGATGTTCCTCCTTCGCGACCGACGCGGAGACGTTGAACGCGCGCGCAAAAGCGTACACCGTCCTCCTTTATCTCGCGGCTCTCGTACCATCGGGGAGCACCCCACCTTTCTCTCCTGCGCACCCGGCGAGAAGACGAAGGGGCGGGGGACGGCGGGAGGGGGTAGGAGAGAGAGGAGACCGTGTATGAACGTGCGTGACGGTGAGAATTGCGCGTGCACGTTGCGCGAGATGCGCGCACACTCTCGGGTGCACACGCACACCGCCGAAAGTTGCGGTCGCGTTCACCTACACGGAAAACCTGCCCCATTCCGCGGCAGTACAGTCGTCCGCGGGTAGCTCCTACGTAGGTATTTAAACGCTCTCCACACAGAGAGTCACCTGCCGCTGTCGCGCCGCCGCCCTCCTGCCCCCCCCCCCCCC